AATTGGTTTGCATTTGTCTGTGAAATTCTTGCATGTATGTGTTTGTAAGTGTTGGTGTGTGTATATATGTGTGTTTCAGATTGCAGAGAGTATGAGCCTTTGCTGCCTTACACTCAATCCACTGCTCAGATCTTCCTGAATGCCATTAACCCGGTGGATAGTAGGACCTGGAGGAGACAGCACTGGAGTGCCAAAGTCCTCAAAGTGATCAAGGTATAAACATGTGCATTCACTTTCACTTCTTGGTTCTAAATAAGTAATCATTCTTCTAGTAACCTATTGTTCAAAATAAACTTGTCTAATTGTCCAATTGTTGGATTGTATGAATCTAATATGCATGCCTATGAAATTTTAAGATGAAGATCCTTTTTTGCCTGTCTGTCTGACTATGTTAGGTGCCTGTAGAAGTGCTGTTATTGTTGACAGTTCCTGTGGTGGACACAGATAAGGAGGATCACAACTGGAAACGCCCTCTGAACTGTCTTCACATAATCACTGGGCCTCTGGTCTGCGTGCTTACCTTCCAGTCGGGAAAGTGTAAGTCGGTTGGCATTTTTATTTGAACCATGAAACTAAACCTGTTCAACAGCAATCTCTTATGTGCACATAAAAAAAAAGTTATGTCATCCCTGTCATTTGTTGCTTTAATGCAGGGGTGCCCAAACTCGGTCCTGGAGGGCCGGTGTCCTGCAGAGTTTAGCTCCAACTTGCCTCAACACACCTGCCTGGAAGTTTCTAGTATGACTAGTAAGAGCTTGATTAGCTGGTTCAGGCGTGTCTAATTGGGGTTGGAGCTAATCTCTGCAGGACACCGGCCCTCCAGGACCGAGTTTGGGCACCCCTGCTTTAATGCATCTGCTGCATTCTGTCAGATGAACTGAAATTCCTTTTGTATGTGAAAAGATAAATGCTGTTGATGCAGATATTGTGCAATCATTTCATGTTCTCTAAAGTACATGTGACTGAAACAGACAATGTTTCTCTTTCATTCAAGATGGCTTACTGCTCATTGAAGGAGAAGTTCCAGTGTGGGTGCTTGTACTCTGCATCGGAGTCTTCCTCTCTGGCATAGTCTTCTTCACTACCACAAATGAGCATCCTCCTAGATATCACTTTGTATGAATCTTCTTCTTCTTTTTTTTTTTTTAAAGACAACTCTTATTTTCTTATGCATTTGTTTGATCACACATACAGTAAAAACAGTAATAGTTCACATCAAAAATGAAAATTCTGTCATCATTTACAGTACTCACCCTCATGTTGTTCCAAACCTATAAGTTTCTTTCTTATGTTGAACACAAAAGAAGATATTTTGAAGAATGCTGGTAATCAAACAATTGTTGGTCCCCATTGACTTCCATAGTACTGAAAAAAATACTATGGAAGTCAATGGGGGCCATCAACTGTTTGATTTTGTGTTCAACATAAGAAAGAAACTTATACAGGTTTGGAATGACGTGAGGGTGCGTAAATGATGACAGCATTTCTGAGGTGAACTATTCCTTTATTAACATTTTAAAATTCAATTTATTATTGTGATGACAGCTGAATTTTCAGCAGCAGTTACTCATGTTGAAAGCATGTGTGACTTAATATTTTTGTGGAAACCGTAACTTTTTGTTAGACTTCTTTGAGTAGAACTTTCAAAAGAACACCGTTTATTTGAAATCATTGTATAGACATTTTAAATGTCTTTACTGTCTCTTTTAATCCATTTTATGCATCCTTGCTGAAAAAAGGGTATTCATTTTGTTTTTGAAATGTTTTATTTGTTCTGTTGCTGTGTGTGTGTAGCTCTATTCTCTGCTAGGTTTTGTGGTCAGTGCGCTGTGGATCAGCACTGTGGCGGCTGAGATTGTTAGTGTGCTGCACCTGCTGGGGGTTGTTCTCAGTCTCAGCAACACTGTACTGGGCCTCACCTTGTTAGCCTGGGGCAACAGCATTGGAGGTACACACACTCACTCACAAACATTAAAAATCACAAACTGCACATTATCTTCCCATTATTTTAGCTCCTAGCCAATATTCTAGAACTTGAAATGAAAGGAAAATAATTTTACAACTACTAGAATGCATGGGTTTATTTTTGTTGGCACTGTTAAGTAATAATATAATGCGTGAAATAGTGTTTGATGGCTTTTAATATTTAAAGAATCATACACCAATGGGATATTATACACCATTATGGTTTTACCTCTGTTAGACCATGTGTAATATTTGTGTGTTTTCACAGATTGCTTTGCAGACATTACTATAGCCCGTCAGGGATACCCACGGATGGCCATTTCTGCCTGTTTCGGGGGCATTATCTTTAGTATCTTTTAACATATGTTTTTTAAAAAAGTTCTCCTTTTTGTGTATGTGCATTAACAAATACATCAACAGATTTAATCATACTATATATTTACAGTATTGTAAATATCCTGGTACATTACCATAACCGCACTTCATATGCCTTTAACATTACATTAAGACATGCTGTTTGGTGTGGGCCTGGGCTGCCTGCTGCAAATCTTTCAGAATGAAAATAATGTTGTGATGGTATGTCTCACACTCTATATATTATATACAATGTCAATGTCATATACATGTAACTGGATGGATATGTTGCAAGCTTTTAGTCAGTTGAATATTCCAGTATAGATGAGTGACGGAGTCTGATCTGTGTGCTGTGTGTCTTCTGTTGTGTGGTCAGCTGGAACCAGAAGGGATGCTGTGCTGGGTTCTGTCAGGAGCACTGGGTCTGTCTCTCGTCTTCTCCTTCATACTGGTTCCTCTTCAGTGTTTTCACCTGAGCCGAGTCTATGGCATTTTTCTACTGATCTTCTACACTGTCTTTCTCATCGTTGCCCTGCTCACTGAATTTAGAATTCTCAAATTCTGACATCAGCAGAAACACTAACTGGACAAGTGCAAAAATCTTTAGACGCTCATAGAAATATATAAGAAATGTATTAGAATATATATATATATTTTTTTGTAAATGTATGTTTTTGAAGATCATGGGTAATTGCTATGCACTAGTTAAATTGTTTTCAAACATATCTTGAATTATGAGATTTAAATGATTAAAAATCTATTTTATTAAATGGGATACTTGCAAATATGCTGTGGTGTTGTGTGTGTGTTTTTTACATTTTTTTAATTTAATGAATTCATGCCAAGTGCGATTCGCGAGCTGATCATTCTTTTAAGTCGAATGATGCATGTGCTGGTTGAATCGGTTCACAAAATTGAGCTGCTCTCAAGTCATGATGAAACTATAACCAATGAGTGATTTGAGAGTAAATGTGTATTCCTGTAGCTGAACTGATAAAATATATTCACTGAATGACAGCATGTCCTAAATGCACAGCAGCATCAGTGTGCATGCTTGTGGGTGTAGTTGTTGAAGTAGCTGTAGTATTTGCTCCAGACCATCAGGAGGCGGAGGCGCATCAGCGCTCTCTGAGCCGTTTTTTACATTTTTTTAATTTAATGAATTCATGCCAAGTGCGATTCGCGAGCTGATCATTCTTTTAAGTCGAATGATGCATGTGCTGGTTGAATCGGTTCACAAAATTGAGCTGCTCTCAAGTCATGATGAAACTATAACCAATGAGTGATTTGAGAGTAAATGTGTATTCCTGTAGCTGAACTGATAAAATATATTCACTGAATGACAGCATGTCCTAAATGCACAGCAGCATCAGTGTGCATGCTTGTGGGTGTAGTTGTTGAAATAGCTGTAGTATTTGCTCCAGACCATCAGGAGGCGGAGGCGCATCAGCGCTCTCTCTCTGAGCCTGAGAGAACGCGTCGCAGAGCCATCCGCGGATGTTTTTAAGTAGGCTGAGGTTACCTAGCAGTGAAATCCAATCCACGCTTACCTGTAACGGACAGTCAGGTAGACATTACGCCAACTTCAAGACTTGATCCGTTAGGTTTGTTTGTTCTTACATATAATTCCTTTGGTCGAAACAAGCGATGTCAGGCGGCTGCGGGCGGAATCCTCCTCCTTTCCCTGATAATGAAGATCAGGAGGCAGAATTAGACACTCAAGTGCTGGACAGCGATGATGATGATGATGAAGGCGAGGACATATTCACCGGCGCGAGGGTGAGACACCTGCTTCAGAATGAATAATAATGTTTTTATTATCTGATCAAATCTTATGTGGGGAAATATTTAACTGTCATTTGACAGAGGCTAGCTCGTAGCTTATTGGCAGTGTCTGCAGCGGTTAGTCTCATAATGCAGCTCATAACTGCGCGAACTGCAATTATGTCATTATGGTTATCAGCTGTTATCTTGGCGTCGTGTTCATCTCTTTTTGCAGAGTAAACCGATCACACCCACCTCAGCTCCTGATGAAGGCGATATCTTCAGTGAGGAGGGCTCGTACGTCAGGAGCGATGTCCATCACGCCACTAATGGCCTTCACTCTGATGAAGAGCTGGATCTGTTCACTGGTATTTCACTCCATCGCTGCACCATGACTCGTAATGAGCAATAAATTCGCAATGACACTTGATTTGACATGCAGGCCAGATGGGAGCTGAACTGCATGTTGGAGAACATAATGCATTCAATCTTTGACTTTAAAATAGCGTGGCAGGCTGAAACATTTCACTTAAAAATGCTATATCGATTTTAAAAAGTACTGAAAATTGTACTTGAGTATATTAACAGTGTCAAAAATTGTGCTCAGTTAAAATGATGTACCTAGCCAAAAAGTACTTGAGTGGAAGTAAAAATTATCCATATTTAATTGAACTTGGGTATTTAAAAGTAAGAAGTAAATACGTTTCTTAGCTTCAAATTGGCTTTTGGAAACAAGAGACAGTAAAGATGTTCTAATTTGAGTATTTTTGATGCAGAAACTTTCTAAAGAAACTGTCAAAAATAATATTTTCTTATTATTGTTCTATGTAAGAATCTAAGGCACAGCAGATGTTAAACTGAAACCAGTATCCTGAAAGCTTTTGCATGAATGTTCTCAGCTAAAGTTGTCAGCAGATGATTTTACAAACATTTGAATAGTGATTTTTAGTGGTTGTAAAAACACTGAAGTATGTGTCTGAAACGGATAGCTTGATAACTGGCGTCACATTTGGATATATATTTTTAAATCATTGAGGAAATATTTAAGTCATGATATGTAATTTTAAGAATTTGTAATGAAGTAAAATGCTATTATGTTTCCTGTGATTGAGTAAAAGTACAAGTACTCAATTTTAACAGAGCTCATGGAAAGTACAGATTTCCCAAAATAATTGTATACTAAAGTATAATGGTGTAATGCTATTACTCACTTCACACCTCTGTGCTTTATTGCTCTCTGTTCAATCACTAGAGGCCACTGTAGAGCTGACACTCACTAACACCACCAGTCAAGGCAGGAGAGAGATTATTGGCCCGACCGCATCGGCTTGCAACACCACACGTGTCCCTAATTCCATACTCAAACCCAGCATTGTCACCAAGACCATGGAGGAGGTACTCAAACAAGACCCTTCAGTTGCATTCATGTAATATTTATATAGATTCTTAATTCTAACTGAATGCTGATCAACTTCAACAGTTGGAGGAGGAAGAGAGTGGAGACCAGTTTGAACTGAACATTGCAGTCACTAATCCAGAGAAAATTGGTTTGTATTATGCAACTTATTAACATTTTTCACAGTGTAGGTACATAACAAGAATAATAATAAATTGAAGTAAACTGTGAAATGATTTGCGCTACAAGCCAGTGAGTGATTAAGATTCCTAATTTGTGAGGCACTTTGGATAAAAAGCATCTGCTAAATGAATAAATATAAACATAATAAAATAATATGATCATGGATAACAGTTTGCAGCATCAGGTAACATGAACTGATTTTTTACACCTAAAATAACTAGAAGCCACTGACACATTGCCCACTTATACTTTAAAAAAGGGTATAACTTGCATAAAATTTTTCTAGATCAGTGGTTCTCAACCAGTTGCCCACTAGGGGACCTCGGCAAACATCCAATGGAGCTTATTTTAAAAAGGGAGTTTTTTGAGATAAGTATTTGTTTTTCTTACTTTTATTTATTAAAATCTGATTAAGATTGCATTAAGAAATACAATTCATGAGTTCTTAAAACTTCTGAAATCAAAAAAATTAATCATAATAATTAATTATTCTGTTGACGCTCAGAAAACAAGCAGGTTTGTATTTATTACAGCAGTATTAATAGAGAAAATATCTTCGTCTACATGTGTGGGCCTTCAAATATTTCCTTGGTCATTGAGAAGCACTGGTCTAGATTCAGCCTCTTGTTCTGGATGTTGAGAGCTATAGTGACCGAATTCTTCTATGTTATTGTGTTGCAGGAGATGGCATGAATGCCTACATGTCTTACAAAGTGTCGACACAGGTACACAAGAGCTTATCCCTATTACCATTTTTGGATTGATCAAGCTACATAAATCAGCATTATGCCCCTTTTCCATGCTTCTCTCTCTTATCTCCAGACTACACTGCCCATGTTCCCTACACAAGAGCTTATCCCTATTACCATTTTTGGATTGATCAAGCTACATAAATCAGCATTATGGCCCTTTTCCATGCTTCTCTCTCTATCTCCAGACTACACTGCCCATGTTCCTTAATAAGACGTTCTCCGTACGTCGACGTTTCAGTGATTTTCTGGGACTTTATGAGAAGATATCGGCCAAACACTCTCTGCTGGGCTGCATCATTCCACCTCCACCTCAGAAGAGTGTAGTTGGTAAAGAATTTCTCATGCTCACTCTGGCTCCTTCCTTGTCTAGTGGAGTTATTCTAGTGACCCTCATCTAGACACTCACAATAGCCTGGATCCATGAGAATGTTTACTCTGAGCTCTCTGTTGGCTCTTACTTGCATCATTTTGCTCGGAGCAGTCCGGTGTGATTTGCTGACTGAGCGTGTGGTTTGGTGTTGTGTCACAGGGATGACTAAAGTGAAGGTAGGGAAGGAGGATTCATCCTCAGCGGAGTTTGTGGAAAAGAGACGAGCAGCACTGGAGAGGTGAACACAAGCCTAATTAGACATACACATAAAATAGAGGTTCACAAATTGCATTTTTTTCTGATATTGATAACTCAGCTGGGGGGAAAACCTGATTTCTGATTAAGTGGCTCATGGCATATTGAGTATGATATATATTGGATATGTATAGAAAAACTCGTTTATTATCCTGATGGGGCGTTTTGTAGCCCAAAATGTATGAAATCCTAGGTGCAACCAAACAATCCCTATAAAAACCAGAAAAAAGAAAGTGCTGATTTGATTGTTAATGCAACAGATTTAGACACCACAAACCTTTAGGGGTTAGGAGTGGTTTCATTTTTATTTTGCAGTCATACCCTAGAACCTTTCGGCACTGGCAATGCAAAAAGAAAATTGCATTCATTGCTGAAGAATTTTGAGTTGTAACAGTGATTCACATGCTAATGCACACTCATTTTATCTTTAACTGGTTATATTTATATTTATATA